TATCATGGATTACAAAAATTCTATCAGTACAAAAAAAAAAAAAGAACAAAAAATTCAATCATGGATTACAAAAAAAAAAAACAATTCGATCATGGATTACAAAAAAATCGATCAAGTATTACAAAAACTTATATCATGGATTGCAACAAAAAAAAAAAAAAAAAAAAATTACCGTACGGGACTCGCCGATTCAATGTACGGACTCGCCGATTCCGTACAGTGAATCGGCGAGTCGCTGTACAGAATCATCCGGTTCTCTCTAGAACCGGACGATTCTCATTTTTTCGCCGATTCGATCCGTCCATGGCGATCCCCGAGTCGAATCGGACGATTCCGGTTCGACTCGGCGTTTTTTTAAACACTGGATTGAGCATATCTATTAATACTTAAAAATATAAAAACTGGACGGTCCAAAAATGCGTTACAAGATGTACTATTTTTTAAAACTTAAAATCCATTTTTTTCTTGCGTCCATGCATCTTGATGTTAAGATGATCAATTTAAAGATATTTAAGCGTCAAAACAACATCTTCTAATGAAATTTTTGATGTGAACTCTAATTTGATTGTTTAGAGCCTCGGCTCTATATAAATATTTCCCTTATTTAAATAAACTATAGCGAATCGTAATCAAAATACATCTCAACATTATGGCATTGTACACGACAAGACTTATTTGTTATTAAAAAAACAAAGTCAGAACTTATTTTAGCCATCAAGTGTCAAATCGTCAAATAACTCAAAATTTTTTTTGAATGCAAACTTTGAGCCTCATGATTTCAAATTTAACTGACATAAATGACTATGGCCTCTTTGTATAAAAAATAGAGATTGTATATTTCAAATTTAATTGACATAAATGACTATGGCCTCTTTGTATAAAAAATAGAGATTGTATATAAAAAGACAAGTAACTTTTAATATAAAGTCGTTACAATTCTTTACAACCTAAAATTTAATAGCCTGAATGTGTCACAAAGTTTGAAAAAATTTATTTTGATGTTTGAGTTTAGTCAATGGAATAATTGTAGCCACCCAATTTAACATCCAACGGTCGAGATTAATGTGACCACATTGTATAAAAAATAAATGGTCTCATTCAAAATTTTCCTTAAAATAATGGTTTCATTATATATATTTTTGATTTATATTGATGTAAATTTAATTGAATGAAATATAATGAATACAACGCACCTAAACCCAATAAAAAAAAGGCAAAAACAACAAGAACACAGCTAGACCACCTATCCCAATTATAAAAATGAAATCAGCATTCCAAAAAGGTGGACATTTTTTTCCCATAAAAATGAAATTTGGAAGTAATTATTTATAGCCTACGCATCTATTTTTATATGGTTTTCAACTTTTTATGTATGTTCATCGTTCAAAATACAGGACAATTTCGTACATACCCCCAATTTCCACGAATTTTATCATAGCCGTTGTATGCTTTGTTTTTTCAGTTTTTAATATAAAATTATTATTCACAATTTAATGAGAGACACAGGGGCGAGCATATCAGGATGAGAAAGTGAGAACCACATGAGAGGACTAAAAAGGGCGAGGCCTGAGGGAAAAAGAAAGTGGATGTCTGTTTTGAAAATTTTTATATATGGTTGCAATTTTTATACGGGAGAAGTAAGGTGCACTCTTACAAGTTCGTTTGGATTATTTATTTTATATACATTAAATTATTAATGATAAATTTATACCAAAAAAGATAAAAAAAATAAAAAAATAAAAGAAAGGAAAATTTTCGTATAGAATTCTAATTTCTCATATTATTTTATGGTGAACCTTTTTTTTTTTTTTTTCAAGTAGCATAAGAAAACTCTTAAAGATTTCAACATACTCCGCATCTCTTATCTCCCTCTTTTATTTAATTTTGATCATAAAAATTAGCCCAAACAAATCGTTTTATACAATTTCAATCCGAAAAATTTTTTAATGGGTGAAAAAAAGAAAAAGATGTTAAAAAAGTTTTTGGGATAAAATAGTATAAAAAAATTTGTTGGGGCTAATTTTTATGGTTAAAAATCAATAAATGAAGGAGATAAGAGATAAGGGATGATGTGTATGGTGAAATCCTTAGAGATTTTTTTATATCAAAAAACCAAAGAGGATCTACCATGAAATAACACGCGAAATTAGAGTTCTACAAAAACCAAGCCTTAAAAAGAGCAGCGAAGCAATCGGTATAGGCAATAGGCGGGATCGCCCGGGTCTCGGCCCGGCCCTTATCCCATAGCCGCCCTATAGGGCTAGGGTCAGGTTAAAAAACAAATTAAAAAAGAAAATAAAAAAAGGGGCGCTGAACCGGGCAAATAAAAAAAGGGACGCTCAACCGGGCCTGCACCAGCTCTAGCTCAGGTCTCAAACTCCCTTAAACTACCATTGTGCCCCAGGCCCTACTTTTTAAGGGCCGGGCTTCCACCTAATATGTAGTTTTCATTTCGGCTCTAAAATATCTCCCATTTGCGTGGAGACCACTCTCTCTGGAAAAAAGCCGTGTCGTCGTTGCCTATTTCCCCATCACAAGAAGAGAGAGAGAGAGAACCAGCCCTTTTATTCCCTCTCTCTCTCTCTCTCTTCAAACGCACCAATGGCTCTCACATTATCCTTTTCTTCCTCTCCTCTCTCTCCCTCTCTGCAACAAAATAACCCAATTTCTCAATCTCGCCTTCTCGCTCGGAAATCCCTGCGCCTTTTCGCCCCCACAATTCGAAAATCCGGTTTTCGGAAACTTTCTCGCTTCTCGGGGCAATGGAAATCAAAATTACAGCAAGCTCAAGCGCCCAAAACCGGTTTTGGAGTAGAAATATCAGAGAAGCAGGTTTTGGTGGGTGGAGAAAGGGTTTTGTGTGATGTTCCGGAAAATGTTTTCTTAACGCCATTTCGTGATGGATGTGGAGGGGGAGCTTTTCTTGGGGCGGACATGGCCGAGGAAGGCAGTCAGGTTGTTATCCCCATTGGACGTTTGAGGTGAGAGAAAGCTTCTTTTGCTTTTCAGCTCTTCCGTTAATGGAATGGGTCGTCAACTCACAAGAGATACATGTTTAGAGAGAGATTCTTGAGTTTAAACTCTAGAGAGAGAGATGAATCTAGTTCTTGTTTGAGAGGACTTGATACAAATTTGAAACTGGCTCCAGTTTCCTGATATTTTTTACAAAGAGAAATTAAATCAAGATAAAAGATTTTTTACTCTCGTGGGAGTGCACTGTTTATTTAAATAAAAAAAAAGTGAAAATTACTCTCTCTCCCTCTATGCCGTTGAAAAATATAATGTTTCAAGATTGAACAGATACCGTCCAATATTTGCATGGTGAAATGTATGTGTTGACAAACTTAAATTTCAAATTTCTTTTCTTTTGAAATGAACATTTAATGATTATTAATGGTTCTCAAAATTTCAGATTGAAAAACCCCTCTCAAGGTCTATTGACTAAGGAGTATATCTACATTATACTCCTGCAGGAGCATAGTATACATGCTCACCTAACGAGTTACTATTCCATCTATACGACCTTTATTTTATATTAATAGCTTTTCATAAATAGCTGTGGACTATGGAAAATATCTCATGACCCTCTATTTGCAATAGGAAAAGCAAAATATACTATACTCTGCAGGACTATGAAAACCAGAGTCTTTAGGGGCATCGCTGTCCATCACTTCTATGGACGGCGTTGAAGAGAGAGTATACTCCTGCTTTATTGTAGTGGGCTCCACGGCTCATTCTTTGATCCTATGGACTATCCTTTTTTGTAGTCCTTAGGATTACCGTGTTCTTTCATATAATGTAATTTGCCTTGCTAATCGTCAATCACTTAATTGTTTCCTTGAAAGGACGTTATTGCCCTTAATTTTTCACGTAACAATAGGAAACTTATTTAGGTTTATTGATCATACCCTTGAAGATTGCACAAACACCCTTCAACAGTTTGGATTGAACCTCGTATCATTCAACATTAAAAAGATAGTTTTTGTTTTTATTTTATATTTAAAAAATTATATTTATTTAAAATTTGGGGTACATATGTTTATATGATGCACTAAAAAATAACAAATATGATCACAATAACAATATTGTTCAATCAAAATATTTTTTATTATTTACATTTGATGCACTCTATAAAAATGCATCTCCGTACCAAATTTCAATCTAAACCGTTGAAGGTTGCTTGTGCAACCTTCCCCCGTCCACGATCCGGACATGAAACTTTCCTCTATCGATTTTTGTTCTCTATGATTATTGAATAGGTTTATGGGACGATGTTGACTACCATACTGTCCAATCAAGAGGTTGGATGGTGCTGAAAGTGTGTAAAAACTATTGAATATTGCATAAGTGGTTAAGAATATAAAGAATTATTCATGACCATAGTTGCATATACTTACCTTTGAATCCCAATTTAGTGATAAAAAGGGTAAACAAATTGCGAACTTCATGTATGTTTTCCTAAAAATGCAACAAATACTATGTAACATGAACATGGTATGAATGGTTACGTTGAGAAAAAGAATATATCGCAAATGGGTTCAATCACCATGACACCTATGTGCTTATTATCCCCATTAGAGGCCCATTTAATGCATTTACGCAAATTCAAAATAGATGGGATCTCATGGCTGGCAACCTTAGAGAGATGCCTTTGACCGTTGAAGGATAAGGGGAAGGATAAGGCCAGCAATGGGCCACTGCTGTTCTTCTTGGCCCCGGCCCATTAGGCCTGGGCCATGGTATGGTCGGCCCGGCACTATGTTTTCCGCTATATTTCTTTTACCTTTGAACCTATTAGGCCCATATTTGCTCAAAGAGGTTTGAGCCCGAGCCTAGGTTAGAGCCCCTTCCTTCCACCCTGTCTGGACTAGCCCTGCTTGGGCTGGCCCAATAGGTTTGCCCGGCTGAGGAAGGAAACATTACATATGAGTCCACAACAGAGAAAAAAAAGGTTGGAATAATCGAAATTAAAACAATGGAAAAGGAATGGACTAGAAAGGCGAGGAAATGAAGAAGTAAAAAGACCACAAATTCGAGGAAATCTTAGGGTGTGATAACTGGAGATTTTAAAAATGAGAGTTGAATCTCCTACTTCTGCATTTGATAACAGGGAGATTCTAAGCCATTTTCTCAATGTTAAATAAAATACGTTGATTTTTGGAAGGCCGCCCTCCTATCAAAATGATGGATGGCCGGTCTTCCATAGTAAATGGGACTCCCTACCTCTCCTCTAAAGGCATACGTCAACTGCCCTTTCAAAAGCCTTTTTTTTTGGAATGAGCAAATGCTGGATATAAGTAATTTTTACGATGTGGATATTCAGGTTATGATCTCGAAAACTATATCCAATGGACCTTAGGCAATTAAAACTTGGATAATAAAACCTGGATTTGCATATCTTGGGGTCCCAAACTACCCATTAACGAATAAAAGGAAGACACGCTGTAAATAAAAGTCACTCCAACTTCAAGCTTGACTTATTTAACATTTTATCATTCTAAAAGATTTTTCTTACATCTTCATTTACAGTACGTGTACCATTAGCCAGTGTTAACGTGTGAATGTGTGTTCATGCTTATGTGCATTTATTGTTAAAGTGAGTTTTGGAGACCCTTAGTATACTGTAAACTAATGATGAAACATGGAACTGATATTTTAATTCTACTTAAGAAATGTGGAGTTTCTGTCATGTTTCCGATTCAACATTTGGTGGATGAGCCAGAGGACTGGGGATTATGGAAAGGATGTTCCCAAGGAGACTCAATTCTTGTTGTTAAAAGCACCATCGTCTAAGGATGGATCCTCAAATTCTTACATCTTCCTTTTACCTCTCCTCGATGGTTCTTTCCGAGCGTGCTTGCAAGGTGGTGAAAATGACGAGTTACAACTTTACATGGATAGTGGTATGTATGTTTTTCACCATTTTATCTTGTTCTTTATCATTTGTCGATTTTTGTTGCGTATATATTATCTTACTTTTTCAGATAATTACCTGAAGAAAAAAAGTTCCTGAACTTTTCAACAGAACTCTTTTGTTTTTGTCAATGTACTTTCAACATCGGAGTAGATATGCATAAATTGGTACAAATTTAAGTGTTGAAACATGTCTCTTTTGGGTTGCAGGAGACCCAGCTATAACCGCATCATCTTGGTCACATGCCTTAATCATTAAATCAGGGGAAGATCCATTTAAACTTATTGAAGAGTCCATAATGTGAGTCTGCTCCCCTTTCTTTGTGCTCTATGTGTTTTCTTTTATCAGCTTCACTATTTCCAATCAACTCATAAGTCTAAGAAGCTAGGATATTGTGGTATGACTTTCGGAACTCTTCTCGCAATTAGGTTGTAACTCCCTGTGTTAATGTTTAACTCCCTGTCTTTGTTGTGATCCTACCTTGAGATCAGTTCCTCACATAACAATAATATGTCTGATAATGGATGGCATTTATTTTTTGCGTGCTTCTTGTTTCCTTCTTTATACATATTTAAGACATATACATGTTCACAATACTGCCATTATTTTCCACCCAGTAGTCAAACATTTCTCTTTCTCTGGTGTTGAAATTGGAGTAATCTGATTTAAGCCTCAATGCAGTTCTTGTTATCTATTCCTTTCCTTCCTCTGGTCGAGTATGTGCAGCCAAATATTTCTGAATAAAGCACTATAAATGGAGAAAAATTCGGGGTTGTTGATTTAATGGTGCAATGCCATGATTAGGAACCTAATTTACTTTTATGTTACATTCTATTGCTCATATCTTTAAATGCAATATGTGGAAGGTCATGATTGAACTTGCTTGTATAGTTGAATAAAGCTGCTAAATAGTTATTACAATGGTTGATATGCAATGTTGTATTTCTTCCAGGGCTGCAGAGTCCCATTTGCAGACTTTTCTTCACAGGAAGAAGAAGAAGGTGAGAAGTTCATGGATTTACACTCACATGATATAATGTAGACTAACCATGCTAATGTAATTATGCCCTATAACAATTGGAGCTTTAGACTGTCTTCTACCCTAAACAAATTTAATTGGGCCTGTCCCTAGTGAAGCTCATTTGCTCTGAACGTTAGTGTTATTAATATTGGCATTTGTTCAATAAGATATTTAGGTGTAATAGTATTGAGGGGATCTTCTTATTGACAAGCTTATCAACAAGCTTATCGACTATTTTTGCATCTGTTTGCATTTGTGTGTGAAATTTTGTACATCTTTGATTCAAGAACAGTATCAATTTTATATTTCCTTAAGGCCTAGATCCACCATTAACCAAATGGACACTGATTAATTTTCTCTGTTCTCTTATATGAATTCATGTTTTTTCTAATGTATCTTGCTTGCTTGATAAGACCTACAGGTCTGCAAAATATGGGGTCCAACAAACACCTGTAGCTCCAATGGGCTTATGGTACAGAAGTATAAGCCCATGGGCTTATATTATATTTTTCTTATCTACATATAAATTAAAAAAGATATAGTACAATTTTAAGTTTAGTGAGATATAAATAAATCTAATTAATGAAGTTATAGCCATCATCCAGAGAAACCTTCAATACTTGTATACACAGCTCTGATACAATTCAGAAGTTTCTTACGAGGGATCATTGTTACGAATCACTTAGTATCAGCCAAAATATTTTAAGGATGTGAAATTTCAGGCTCTTTTTCCCTTCATTTCATTCTAACACTTCCTGATTTTCGAATCACGTCCTCCTGGAATCTCCTTATGTTTAACGAATTAGTTTATTGATTTAAAGATATACTAAAATGGGTATCTGGGTGGCTTTTTGAATTCCAAGATAACCTACCCTATGAGAAAAAGTGGGTTCTTAGGTTTGATTTGAATAAACTTTATCTATAATGTGAGAGCTACAAATGGTTATGTGGATATCCAATGAACCAGTTTGTTTGAGTCGGTTTAGAAAAAAGAAGTGTAAGTTGTTAATATGAGGAAATGATGCCCTTTTTAGTTTCGTGATTGTAATCATCCGGAAATTGAAGTGTGACCACAGTTACCTAGCATAATTGATTGGTTTGGGTGGTGCACTTGGGATGCTTTCTACACAGAAGTGTCTGCAAAAGGAGTCGAGGAAGGATTAAAGAGGTCGGTCCATTTATACATTTATACTTCTTTTATTTATTTGGACAGTTTCAAAATTTGTCGTAAAATCTGGGACTGAATTTGAGGTTTTTTAAGTTTGTGTGAAGGTGGCATACCCCCGAGATTTTTGATTATTGATGATGGTTGGCAATCTGTTGCAACTGATGAAACATCTAATCAACCATCAGATAATATGTGAGCGTGAAACAATTTTCAGTATTTACCTTTTATTTATTTTTTCTTTATTTTCCTCCATTGAGACCTGAGATTGAGTCGATGTACTTTTATTAACAGTCCCTTGGGCCGTTTGACTCAAATAAAGGAAAACAAAAAATTCCAGAAGCATGCAGAGGCAAATGGGAGTCCCAAAGAACCAACTGAGGGAATTCAGCATATAGTAAAAATAGCCAAGGAGATGTATAATGTCAAGTAAGTCATTTCAGCTTCCTAATTCTGGATCTTATTTGAAATTTTATTAGAATTTCTCTCATAAGTCCTTTGTTACCAAAATTAAGTACACAGAAAAATTTAAGAAAATAATCAAAATTAAAAATTTTCTCTCTGTGGGATCCTTTGCCATTTCCTACAAATCTAACAGTCTTCTCTCCAACTGTGGTAGGTATGTGTATGTTTGGCATGCACTAGCTGGATACTGGGGGGGCGTAAAGCCAAATGTTGAAGGAACAGAGGGTTACGATGCTAAGTTGCAATATCCTTTAGCAACTCCTGCATCATTCGCGAGGATGGCAGAGATTGAATGGCTTTCAACCGAGGGACTTGGCCTCGTGCATCCATCCAAGGCTGCCAAGTTCTTTGACGAGTTGCACGCATACCTTGCGGCCTCGGGTATTGATGGTGTGAAGGTGGATGTGCAGAGTGTGCTTGAGACAGTCGCCTCCAATATGGGTGGCCGTATTGGCCTTGCTGCACTATACCATCGTGCACTCGACGCCTCCATTGCTCGGAACTTCAAGGAAAATGGGATAATTGCATGCATGAGTCATAGCGCTGATGCTCTATTCTTGTAAGTAAATCACAACCTTTGTGTGTGATTGTGTATATGGTCATGTGCTCATAACTGAACTACTCAATGACATTTTTAGCTCTTAGTTATCAGAAATTCCTAGTGAACCTAGAAATTTTTTCATGGCAAATTGCATAGAGATCATGTGGGCCTTGTCTTTGGAGGTGGGTATGTCACCGAAGTGCAACGTTCCTTCAGCTGAAGAATATATAGGGGTCATCTATTTTATGCAAATGGCATCTGTTGAGGGGTTGTTTTGTTTGGGTTGGGGGAGGGAAGGAGGGGGTGGGGGGGGGGGGGGGGGGGGAGAGGAAGGGAGAGAGAGATAGAGTGTGTGAGTATTGGAAGATAGAGTGTGTGAGTATTGGAATTTATATTTAACTTTGGTTATTGGTCTATGGAAACCTTAGGTGTTTGCTTATGGTATATGTACTTCCCTCAGTTTGAAAAAAAAAACAATCAAATATGAGCAGCAACAGTTGATGATTATAATCTTCAGAATTTCAAATTGAAAGATAAAAGCTTCCTGGAGTCTATCCTGGCTCAATGGTCTTGGAATTTTGAAGAAACATTGGATAAGAAATTCGAATGACATGGTTATGCCATGTAATCAAATTGTTCGGATATTACAGAATATGTAACTCCCACTGCCACTCTCTCGTCCTTGGCTGAACACGTTTATCTGATATTACCCAAATAATACTGTTCTCCCTCTTACTACTTTACAATATGTTTTACTGGTAATTGTTTGTGTCCTTGGCTCTTTGAAATTCTATTGCACATCAATTTTTTCTCTTTTTTCTCCTCTTTTCTGGAGATGGTGCCAATACTTTCTATCAGCTTGATGGAACTTATTGTATTGTAATGCAGTTCAAAACAAACTGCAATTGTAAGGGCATCTGATGATTTTTACCCAAGGAATCCCCTGTCGCACAGCATTCACGTTGCTGCAGTTTCTTATAACTCTGTATTCCTTGGTGAATTCATGCAACCTGATTGGGACATGTTCCATGTGAGTAAATATTTTATCGTTTCCTATTATTCTTTCCGTTTCTCTCCCTCTCAACACAAAATGATGTTAGAGAATCCCTTATATCATAAAATGCTCATGCACTTTTTGCAGTGGCCTTCTATCGTATGTTTGTTAGTATTGATGTTAGTAGTTTTATGTTCAATGTCTAGGATTTTTTAGGCCAAATTTCATCTTTTGTATAAGCTACAATTTGACTTTCTTTCATTAGGTATCTTTTGAATTTTTAGTCTGGAAGAAGGCAAGAAGCTCCATGAGAATAGCAACTACAACTACCTCAGACACTCCTGTTTAACATAAAATAACACTGAAATACTTCTAACAATGCTTCATTTTTTGAAATCATTTCTCTGAAAACTGAAGATACCCATAGATTCCAATTATATTATGTAAAAACCATCCGTCTTCCTTTATTCTCCTCTAAGGGTCACAGACATATAACAACTCTTTCTCTCTCTCTCTCTCTCTCTCTCTCTCTCTCTCTCTGTCTCTCTCTCTCAGTGAGTGCACCTCCGCACTCTAACCAGCTTTTGTTGAAGAGAGAGAGAGAGATTGCACATCCCAAATTTTCCATCCCTTCTACTGCAAGCCATGTCAGGACTTGAAACAGAGGTGTTCTTTTATTTTGCAAGACTGGAAGAAAAATGGTTTCATCTCAAAAGTAAAAGGCACTTTCTTAGTTCTCAAACCCAGTGAAAATTACTAAATCCATCACAGTGCTCATGCATAAAATTTTCAGAAATTTGTGTCTATTGTTTTAGTTTGTTACAGCTAATATAGTGAGTAGAGATACAACTTAAACTGATTAAAGAAATTATGAAGGATTTCTACTTTTGCAGAGTCTTCATTCTGCCAGTGAATACCATGGAGCAGCCCGTGCTATCGGTGGTTGCCCTGTATACGTGAGGTACATGCACCAGTGGCGCTTTCAAATTAAATTGTTCATCTCTATTTCTTTATTTATTGTGAAGATAACAAGAAATATTGATCCTTACAAGTAAAGATTATGAGCTCCCTGGGCATGTTTAAATTAAAATGTTCATCCATATGTGTTTATTTATTGTGAAGATGATAAAAAGTATTGATCCTTGAAAGTAAAGATTATGGGTTTCCTGGGTTTCTTCCTAATGCACAAAGATTCTTCTTTGTTGAGATAGTCATGTAACATGTGTAAACCTAGCACTATTAGACAGTAGCCAAAGTTCTAGGCTGACACATGATGGAAAATATGACATTAAGTGTGTGCATACGCATCCACCCTTACGTGGCCTGACTTGTTATAAACTTATAATATTACATTGAAGTCAATTACAACCAATATGTAGTTAAACTCGTATTGGATCCTCAAGCATCGAGCGCCCGAATTTAAGGATGGCAACAGCATAGCATTCATATCTGCTTCCTTGCTAATATATCTATTATCGTGAAAACAATACAAGAGACCCTTCTATTTGCAAATGGATCCACTGAACCCATTATGGAAGTAAATTTCGGGTAATGTCTAAATTGAGCAAGTGTGAAACATGTAATGCGCATGGTACCATATGTTGTGTTTGCACAGTGCCTATATACACCATTAAAATATTACATTTCAAGGCAATTGCAACAACAAATTTTTTTAGTTCTTAGATTCCCAGGAATCAGGTGTCAAAATGTTCAGGATGATCCCAACATCCTGGATTTCGGTAGAGTATCTTTCTCTACTACCTTACAGTAAATGTCAAAACAACAATAAGGGAGACATTTTAAGTCCAGTATCTCCTCAGGGGTATCATTCAAGTTCGACAAAAAGGGTGAGTTATCACAAGTTCATATCATTGTGCCTAAATCATTTGTAAAGAGCTCCTCTAATATTTGATTACCAGTTGTTCTTACTTTCAACCTTTGGACACGGCTGCCCATGGCTTCTGTTAAATCCCTCATCAAGTGACTCCTTTACATTCCTTGAAACAGTGTTGTCCTTTTGGTGACAGTAGGACCTATTTCACCTACTTGTCCAAATGTCACAGTATTGTGTCTAAATCATTTCTAAAGAACCCTTCTAATATTGATGATCAGTTGTCCTCACTTTCAACCAGCTGCCTGTGAATCATGTTAAACCCCTCATCAAATCACCAATTTTTAGCTTGCAAACTACTTATGCAGCAATAACAATTAGATTTTCATCATTCATTCAATCTATAGCACTCCCTATTAGAGTGGATTCTCCTAAAGATCTTAGAGTTTTCCTCTCCAATTTCCACTCACAAGAGTAATTGCAAAGTGAGAACCTTAAAACTTTCCCTTAACCCGTCCCAAACCCAGATAAAGGAGGTGGGTTGTGTTAGGTAGGCAGTCAACGTACAACTTTGCCAAAACATTCTATGAATCCAGAATATACATTATCATTCATGTGGAAGGCTCAAAAAGAGAAAGGGGTAGACCCAAAAGACATGGTTGGAAGTAGTGAAAAATGATACGGGGACTTATGACCTCATTGAGGGTATGAATAGAGCATAATGGTGGATCAGGATTCATGTACTGACCCCAATTATTTGGGATGGCGATGATATTGAATAGCAATTGCAGTGTGTCCTGTTGCTTTACTAGGTAAGGCTAACTCAAACTTGTTGAAGATCACACTAGCCAAGACTCATATCATGTGAAGTAACCTGGGGACAACAGTTCCCTTTCTCTAACCAAGGCTCAAATAAGTCTATTGTTCTCGTACGAGAAAAATTGGGGTGCTTGAGTCCCCTATACTTCAAATGGTTCACCCTAACAGATCTATACCTTGCTGACCTCCTCAAAGCAAGGGCTCTAGGAGGCTCTAAGGTGATTCTAGACATTAACAATTTTCTAAGCTTCCAATGCGCATTCAATAACAAGATTAAATCAAGAGATCAATGTCATACAATTGCCTCCAATAGAGTGCCCTGATACTAACTCCAAGAGAAATCCTCAATTCCTTTTTGATGGCCAATAATCACATTTGGAATCTTGGGATAGCACCACTCCATAGATATTTCAAACACCATTTTTGCCTCCAAAGCAGAAAAGACTTGCTTTTACTAAATTACTATATAGCATACAATTGAGGTGCCTACTATATAGCATACAATTGAGGTGCCTAACCCAGCTCCTGACATTTATGCATCCTTTCAAGCTTCTCGCTTCCATGGATCCATGGTCTATTATTCAATACTTACACACATGAACACCTGCACAACACACACACACACACACACACACACACACACACACAGAGATTGTTTTCCTATTTACTGATCTATTTATGCTGCTCATGCTGCAGTGATAAGCCTGGAGAGCATGATTTTGACTTGTTGAAGAAGTTAGTGTTGCCAGATGGAAGAGTTCTACGTGCCCTACTTCCAGGCCGACCGACCCTTGATTGCTTATTTGTCGATCCTACTAGGGATGGAAAAAGGTACAAAGAATGAAATATCTGTCAGATAATAACATCTTTGTATATTGATTGTGTGTTTTATTTTTTGATTTTATTTATTTATTTTTTGGTCATTTGTTTGGGTGGTGGTTGTGGGAAGAAGGCTAAGGGGATGAGCAAAGAATACTCCATAATGAAATTGTGAGAAGAGAGAAAAACACACAAATATGTCCTTCTTAATCAGACCTTCCTTGAGAACTTATGCTGAGCTAAATGTTTGCGATTTATTAACACTCAGTAGTCCCTTTTTAAAAATGGAGTGCCAAAAACAGACTGATATCCTACCATGTACTAGTATGTCCATGTCTCTTTGGAACCTAATACTCTTATCCGATCCAGATAAGCCTTTAGACTTTGTTGAATCCATCTTTGAGTAACCTTCTTGCCCCTACAGAACCCTGGTTCTCTGTAATGCAGAAAGCATCACAAATATGCTTTTCTTTTTTTCTTGGGGGGGGGGGGATGTTGCCTTTTGGTACCGAATTTTATGGCTAAAGAAATGAAGATACGTATTTTCGCAACTGATATTGACCAAACTCAATCTCTTATTGTTATTTTGGAAATAGCTTTCCCACCTTGGCTTTTATTAAAAGATTGGGCTCAACTTATTCAAATTACGTTAGCCAATATCTCTTGGTTTGAATTTTGAGAAATAAGGAAGGTTCTTTGGATTACTTTTTGACAATTAAAGTGACACTCCTAGACACTCTATACATCATTTCTTAGGTAACATGTGCCTACTTATATTTGTGATACCCATAGAATTTTTATCTTCTGTCAATTGTTTGTAATCATTGGGGTATCTTTCTCTCTCTCTCCCATATTTACATTGTCTATAGGGTGCATTTCATGGGAATAGCTGGGGTACTCATGTAAAATCCCTATTTTGTCCTATGAATAAGATACTGATGTCTTTCATTTTTTAAAGTGCAGCTTATTAAAAATATGGAACATGAACAAGTACACAGGAGTTCTTGGCGTGTTCAACTGCCAGGGGGCTGCATGGGATTTTGGTGAGAAGAAAAACATGAATAACAATGCTGATAAGGATATGAATAGCATGGCACTGGAAGGGAGAGTATGTGGAGGAGATGTACACCTTCTCAGAGAAGCAGCAGTAGGTGAATGGTCAGGTTACTGTGCAATCTATTCTCATAGGGGTACGTTTTACTGATTTCTCGCTGATATCATTCCTTCTTTAATTTTACATTGTATTATATAGAGAAATCATAAAGGAATAGACCCTGATTTCCAAAATAACCAAAACCGTCTTGATCATCAATCCTCCTTGAGCGTGAAACTCCTTGGTCTTAAACATGGATGGAATATCCGAAACTGATAAAACATGTCTGCACCTATAATATCCGGGCTGCCCATTCAAAGTTTTGATCTACCTAATGATTCACTAATAAATCTTTTTCCTTTATGAAAATTTGGTTTGGCTTCTTGTATATCTAATTTCTTTGCAACCATTTTTCAAAAGTACTTGTTCATTGATCTCTGGATGGTTTCAGGCTTGCTTGTATGCCTTCCAGTAACCTCCGGATTAAGCTTGAAACTCAAAGTGCTGGAATATGAAGTATATACCGTTACACCCATTCAGGTGAATACATCTCCAGTTGCTAATACATGACGACTGCCTGAACTTATATGAAAGTGTATACTGTCACAGCCATTCTAGTTGCGACATCTATGCATGACTGTATGTGGAGAGTGCAGTTTCATATTTTCTTTGTCTTATGACTTGCAGAGATTGGGAGCAGGTGTTTACTTTGCTCCTGTTGGCCTCATTCACATGTTCAATTCTGGAGGAGCCATTAGGAAATTGGAATATCGAGCAACTTCGATGGAAAATGGAGACATTGGAGGGGGTCATGTGCTTGTTTCTGTAATGGGAAGTGGGCAGTTCGGTGCCTATGCCTCTACAAAGCCAAAAGCATGTTGGATAGACTATGTACAATCAGATTTCACATATGATGAAAACTCGGGTTTGTTGACACTACACATGAAGCAGAATCCAAATGGGTTGACATGGGATATTTCCATTGATTTTTAAATGGAAAATCTAATGTTTGCTCCTAAATATTCTTGGAAGAATGAATTAATTTTCGGCATTCATGTTGAGCATCCCTGCCCAATTGCAGGTGAAACTCAGGTTCTAAATTATGTGATGTTGAAATTCAGCTGTATTTCTCATTGATTCAAATTGTGAAGAACGTTAATGAAATTTGGAATTATAAGATACACTTGCTTTTAGTTGGACAATTTACACCAATTTATTATTCCTTTCTCTTTTCTCTGTCTGTGTTATTAGCTGATTACCAGGTACTCTTTGTTGCTTCGTTCAAAATCGTTGATTACCAATGTTTTTAGACTCAGCTTGGGCCTCAGACTCGGCCTTGGCCCAAGTTGAGTAACTTGGCTAAGTCCGAGTGGACTCGGTTAGTCGAGTAATGTATAGGTCAAAAAAACCCTAATTGTTTTTTAAAAAATATAAAATGCTAAAAAGAAAATAAAATTTTTAAAGTGTAACAAAACTAGATACTAACATAAAAATTCCGAATAAGCTGAAAAATATGAAAAACTTGGATTTAAAAAATTTGATTTACAATTGGAGATACTTCAGAAAAATGTAAGAAAAAGAAAATATAAAACTCACAAATCATTGTAAAACACATTCAAATTGCATGTATAATTTGTATATATTGATCCTACCACAGTAGTGTCCATTTACTCCCTCATGTAAAACCCAATCGAGAAGCAATTCTAGGACCCCAGATCTTTAGGATGTAACATATTATCCAACCTTCATAAAAAAAAAGTTCTACATTGCACTCTCTGTACACTTGAAAAGCATAATGTCTCAATATTGAACAAGGACCATCCAATTTTGAGAGGGCGAGATGTTATAAAACTTAAAATTCAAATTAATACTTTTGAACAGATATTTATCATACTGCAGGAAAAGATCCTTCAATAACCATAAATCTCCTGATCCTGATAACGAATGACTACCACAAAGTGTTCTATTTTTTCACAGAAATGAGTTCTTTCAAGAAAGTAACCAAAAGATATCGACTGGTGAAAAATTTGTTTATGGAGGAAAATGTATGACTCAAATTCATATACATTTGCATGAAAGTTGAACATGAATAAAATAGCATTAGGAATGGCTAGCCAACTTCCTAAGCACAAGCTTAGAGTACATTCGCCCTTTAGCTCGAGGTACATTCTTTGTTTTCTTTTAGATTGTGGGGAAGCCAAATTTTGTATCTTCATACAGCTTACTTTCAACATATTTCAACACATAAATAATATGTCAACTTCTCCGAGAAAGAAGGGAAAGGTTTCTATGCTTTCCCTACAGCATAGAAGTTCTATCCTCCCACTACCATCCAGCCGTCCAATTTTGATCAAGAAAGCCACTCACCATTTGATCTTAGATCCGAGGTCTCAAAGTATTTTATTTTTAGTTTTTCTATGCAAATTATACCATTATAAAATTTGGTACATGTCATCTTCTCATTGTGGCGCACCTATAAAAAATATTAAAAATAATTTTTCGATAAAATATAATGACCAAAATACCCCTTAAAAATTTCAGGGGTATTTTGGTCATTTTATTTTATTGAAAATATTGTTTTTATATTTTTTGCTAGTGCAAGTTTAATAGAGGAATGGTCATCCAAAATTTGGTGTCAAAATAGTTTATAGAAAAAAATTAAAAATAAAATAGTGTAAAGACATGACATTGTGATTAGGGCAATCTTAGCCTTCCATTCAGAATGGACGGTTGGATAAGGGGGAGGATAAAACTTCTGTACTATAGGGGAAACATAGAAAGCTTTCCCAAGAAAGAAAACAAGAAAACAACGGCTGGTCACAATTTTTCGTTTTATAAATGGGAAATATCAATTCACTAGTCAAACCACCTGCAATATCATTGAAGCGGTCAAAACATCTCATTTAATATTAGAATGATTATTTTTTAATGGAATGTATACAATAAGACCATTTACCTTCGGTACAAAAAGGTCACAAATGTTTACAATCATTTGATAACCTAAGTTTATCACAAAGTTCGAGAAAATTTCCTTTGAATTTTGAGTTTGGTCAATGGAAGAAATACAACCACCCAACTTCACATCTAATGGTCAAGATTAATTGTGATGACCTTGTACCAAAGATAAATGGTCTCATTATATACTTTTCCATTTTTTAATGCTCATTACATGTAAGTCCTCCAAACATTTGTAAAAAAAAAAAAAAAAAAAAATAAATAACTAAAGGTATTGTCATCAAAATGACAATGGTATCCTTAAATGGTCTTATTATGGCGAAATATCCTCGTACCCCTTACTTTTGGTTTTTCATATCTCAATAGATCCAAATATTCAAAATATATCTCCTAATCTCCTGATTAACTTACCCACTTTTAACTATTTTTTTAGTACTAACAAATGTAAAAAAGACATGCTCATTCTAAACCCTTCCTCTCTTTACGTGATATATTCCCCCAAATTTCTCTCTCTCTAACATTCACCCTCTTTGTCTCTATAACGGACGACACGGAGATAAGAGATACGAGGGGAGAGCTTGGGAAAATAGGTGGAGAGAGATTTAGAGGAAAAGCATCTGGAGAGAGAGAAATGATGGTGTTTAGAAAAGATATGTCTTTTTTATATTTGTTTGGGGTAAAAAAATAGGTTTAAAAAAGATAAAATTAGCTTAGGGGGTTAAAAGATATAAAACTTAGAATTTTTATAACCCAATATGTGTTTTGAAACTTTGGGTCTATTAAGATATAAAACTTAAAAATGGGGGTTATGAAGATGTTTTTCCTCTTATTATAGTGGTACGCTAGGCATTTTTTCCCACCTAAGTAGCCCAAGCGAAATGAAAATTACATCGTTGGTTATTAAAACTTAGCAACATGAAACTAGCAAATGATAAAAATAGCCTTTAGTTGTTCAATATTACAGAAAAAGATCTAATTTTTTTTCATTGTAGACCCTCTAAACCTCAATAGTTAGGGGCAATGTTGTCATTTGGAAGCTCTATTTTGCTAACTATGAATAACCAGCAATATTTTTATCATTTGGCTAAAGTTCCTTAAGCGATGCCAAATTGTTAGGATTTAAGAACCCTCTTAAATGCAGAAACAAGAATCCCAAAGTTGGATCCCACCAAGATCGTGTACGTATCTGGCTAGAAACTAAATAAGAGAGAGTTCGAGTCATAATACGAGAAATAAAACAAGAAACACACACCATAAGAACACATAGATTTACATGGTTCATACCAAGAGGGTTACATCCATAGGCACGACAAACTGAAATCAATTATACCAATGAAAGTTACATTACATATTTTGGGATATAAAGTTACCTCTATAACCCTCAACAAAAACCAATAGAGCAAACCCTATTAGACACAGTCTCCCGATCGGCACCACCCGTCGATCTCTCATCTCTATTCCACAGCTAAACCATTGTTTAGGAATGTTCCATCTCTATTCCACTGTCCAGAAGGAGAACCTTGAGAGCAAACAAGACATTCTCTCTTTAAAAGGGAAAACCACTCAAAATGAATCACATCGGAGCGTTTCTCTCAATAGGAAGCTCTCTTCTTTCTAAGGGGAGGCATTGCCTCTCATGCACAGGATGCTCCTACCTCTTTCTCTTTAAAGGAAGCCACATTTCCTATATAGTGACCCAAATAGGCACACAAATTCTCTGTACTTTCATTCCATATATATAAAGTTAGGAGCCCACACTAAATAGGAAACTTCCTATAGGTATTATATATATCTCAAGAACCAAGAGATATATCTCAAAGTCCTAATATTTTTAAATATTTATTTTCTTTAAGAAACTTATCAATATCAATCTCAATCCCATATTAATCCCACATAATATGGGATTTCCTTATATGGGTGATTTTAGATAATCACCATATCCAACAATCTCCACCTTCATATCAAAATCATATGCTCACTATGTCAATATCCATTGGATAGCTTTATGAATTCATCGTCTTTTGTCAAATAAAATATCTTCATCATTCTTGCTGAAAAAATTGTGCTTGTCATTATATTCCTCCACCTCAAATAAAATGTCGCATACTTTGCCATGAGCCTTTCTTCAACCGAATGCACAAACACTAGCTTTGTACCGAACCATGAGCTATGATACCACTTGTTAGGATTTAAGAACTCTCTTAGATGCGGAAACATGAATTCCAAAGTTGGATCCCACCAAGATCATGTACTTATTTGACTAGAAACTAAATAAGAGACTACTAGCCATAATACGACAAAATAAAACATGAAGCACACACACCACAAGAATACACAGATTTACGTGGTTTACCCCAAGAAGGCTACATCTACGGGCACGACAAACTGAAATGCACTATAAGAACACACAGATTTATGTGGTTCACCTTAAGAGGGCTACATCCACGGGTATGAAAAACTAAAATCCACTATACCAATGAAAGTTACATTACAGATTTTGAGACATAGAGTTACCTCTATAACCTTCAACAAAAACCAGTTGAGCAAACCCTCTTAGACCTAGTCTCCCCGACTGGCACCACCTATCGATCTCAAAAATAGACCATCTCCATTCTACTTTTCAGGAGGAGAACCTTGAGAGCAATTGAGACTTTATCTTTTTAAAAGGAGAAACCATATTCCACAGCTACACCACTGTCCATGAATATACCGTCTCCATTCTACTGTCCAGGAAGAGAACCTTGTGAGCAATTAAGACTTTCTCTCTTTAAAAGGGGAAACCACCCAAACTCTCTATGGGAACCACATCGGGGCGTTTCTCTCTGTGGGAAGCTCTCTTCCTACTAAAGGAAGGCCTTGCCTAGGAATAGATCATCTTCATTCCACTGTCCAGGAGGAGAACCTTGAGAGCAACCAAGATTTTATCTCTTTAAAAGGTGAAACCACCCAAAATCTCAATGGGAACCACATCAAGGTGTTTCTCTCTGTAAGAAGCTCTCTTCTCTCTAAGGGAAGGCTTTACTGCCTAGCCTAGGGGCGTTTCTCTCCATAAAAAGTTCACTTCTCTCTAAGGGGAGGCTTTACTGCCTTGCCTAAGAATAGACCATCTCTATTCCATTGTTCAAGAGGAGAACCTGGAGAGCAACCAAGACTTTCTCTATTTGAAAGGGGAAACCACCCAAAATCTCCATGAGAACCACATCAGAGTGTTTTTCTCCATAGGAAGCTCTCTTCTCTCTAAGGGGAGGCCTTGCCTC